GAGCTAACCAAATACGAGAGACCCAGAATTTGCTGTCCCGGGGGAGCCGAAGGGGGAGAGCAAAAGAAAATCCGTGAGTTTAAATATACAGCGAGCCAGTCTAGACTCTCGCGCCAGGAGAAGAGAGGTGTCCGCCTAAAACCAGCTAACCCAGGCCTGAACCGGCGCGGCGCGGCGCGGCGGTTGCCGACGGAATCTATCCGGCCGCTAAACAAACGTGTTCCCGCCGGTGTTCGCGGCTACCGCCCGGGGTGATCGAGAAACGTGTCATTAGAGGAGCGTAAAAGGGAGCATCGATAAGGAAGGTGTTGAGAGCGCCGGACGAGAGATACGCAGCCGTCTCGGAGATAGCGACGATTGCGACGTGTTAACGCGGCGTTATGAATAGGCGTTCCTCGGCGAGCAAACGGAGCGGTAGGCGTCTGGCAACTGGCAACGCGCGCGGTTCCCTGTATCGGCCGGACACAAATCATCGCGATACGCGCGGATCCACAGGTTGCACGGGATCTCGAGATGATCTCGTCCGATCCGAGGACGTCGAGAGGTGCCGGTCTCCGCGTCGGACGCGGATAGAGCGGATGGGCTATGATTAGTTCGATGCCGGCAATCACGTAACACGGCCAGATACAGAAAATGGTAGAGCACCGTGATGGACGACGTGTTCCCGGCCGTCTTTAAATGATAGTTTAGCGCTACGATGAATATCGGAGCTCGTTCGCTCCGAGGAATCCTGCGGGTGTGGCAAACCGGCGAGCCGCACTTTTCTGAACGCTCGGCAGGATTTCGGGATTTCGAGTTTGCGATACAGGATCGTTAGTCTAGACTCTAACCTCCGGAGGATTTAATGCGTCGGTTGTTGCTGCTGTTCGCAAGAATCGTGGGAAACGGGAGCTACTTTGCCGAAGAAACTGGAGAAGCGATTCGATGCAACGATCATTCCAGTTTTCCAGGTCTTACGAACGTACTTCCGAAGATGCTTCCTGCGGACCCGTCGATCTGCTCCTAGCGTAACAGCGATTCGGTTAATTCGAAAGCCAACAATTGAGCGACAAAACATTCCTGGACCCGGCGGAGTACCTAAAGCCAGACGGAATCGAGCGAATCTAGAGGACCAGGGTCCGCGAAGGTGGGGGCCGCTTGCGAATGAAAAAAGATCGCGATGACCCGAGCTAGGAGAGGCAGCGGGGTCTTTTGTCCGGGTCGCGAAGTGTGGAATTAACCGGTGCTTCCCCCTTTTCTAAAACCAACACGTAATTATCTCGCCGTTGGTTATTCGGTAATTTTCATTCAGGCGGACCTTTTTCCACCGACAGGTACCGGGGCCACGCCGATAACCGATATTTACATGGCAGGTGATATCAATTATCGTTCGGGAGGCGCCGCTAGCCCCGGGGGCCGAAATTGCAGCCGGGCTATGGCCCCCGTGGGTTCCCTAACAATTTACTCGATTCGCGCCTTCGTCAACCTTTTTTGCGGGCTTCTCCAGTCCTCGGGACCCGGGATCCGAGACTCGGAACCCGCTCCGGTGAATCATGGATGCGCACGGTCGATCGAATCGACCCGGACCTCTTCACGGGAAAGAATACCTTCGCATTCGTCGACCATCGATGGTTTTAGAAAAATTTTAGATGGTTCTCCGATGCGCTTTTCAACTGTCTCCCTCGTGACCTGGTTCGCCGCGACGAGAGTTCTGCCGTTATCGATCGTACCGAATGCTGTACGCTCTGGGCGATAGTCCGTCGACGGTCCATGCACGCGAATGGTCGTCGATTTTCTGGCATTCCAGGTTGCAGAAAAATCGAATCGGTCGACCGATAATTCTCTAGACTCTAGCCTCCAGACTCTAGAGGTCCGAACCTCTCGGGCACCCACGCGTTTTCGTGAAACAAGTTGCGCTCTCTTGTTTTTCCCCGAACGGATCGGGGCGTGACGATGTTCGCCGTTGCAGCCGAGGCGAACGGTGACTCGATAAGTACCGTGATAGTCGCCCGGGGCAAAAACAAATAATAACTCGGCCAGGAGGGGCCCGTTGGTTAACGGCGCAGCGCGGCGACGCGACGAGACCGGGATCGAACCAATCTCGCCTTATTTCGAGGCCGACTATCGCAATTTTCGGGACGGTTGTCTCATCACGAAACCAGGCTTCGGCGTGGACGCGGTGAATTACAGGGCGCCGGCCACCCCGTCGTATTACGGTGTTGGTTTTCGAGCCTTTTGTGTTAAAAAGACACGTATAATCATCGTCCCCCCGTCCCGACGCCTTTCCGGCCGGATGGACCGACCGGGATCCGCCAAACTGGCGTTTACCGTATCCTGGCTGTGCTTCTATTCTCCACCCATTTTTCGCCGCATCCCTTGCTCCCCCGTGGAGCGCAGATCGCCTATCTTCTTCTTTCTCTTCGTCATCGATTCGGTCTCTCGGGCATACCGAAGGTTGCACCGAACGACGCTAAGATCGGACTTTTTGCTACCTGAAGTTCCACGAGTTTGCACGAGAATCATAGATCCCGCCTCTGAACAGGTGCCAAGGTGGACCGGTCTTAAGCGTGGCCAAATTGCAGCTCCCGACCGTCTGGAGTATCGATCGCGTGATCGTACGCACCGACGATTAACTCGCCGATTTCGATTGCGCAGAAATCCATCGAAGGCGGCTAACTTTCGGGTACTTGGCGCAATGAGTTTGTTTTTCGCCGGCGAAATCGATCGATTCCTGATTTACTGGATCCGATCTCCGACGGGATGCCGAGGTAAGAATTAAGGCTGAAATTAAGTCAACCCCTCTTAACCCGGTTTCCTTCTTTTTTCTCCCCCGATGAATTATGGCGGTTTGCGGAGGGTCGCGTCGGATGCAGGGTGAGAATTATAAATAAATTTCGGGTTACGAGGTAATCTAGAACGAGTATCGTTCGCGAACGAAAGTTTTAGTTCCGTGCAGGATTTTACGAGGCGGTCGACGAACGGAGTACGCTTTCGTTCGTGCATAAAATAATTCTATCGTCGTTGCGATAGCAACGAAAAGAATTTAACATCGTCCGGTCACGTGCACCGATCTTCGGGCTCCAATAAAATGGTCGATTTCCCCATCAGCCGGTGCCCAGCTAACGATCTCCGCGGCTCCGTCCACACTTACCTTCTGATTTATAGAACTCATCTTTCGATGCCTGCACGCCTTATAAAAGAGGCACGCTAAACGCGGCAGGCTCGCGGAGCTCCCGAATCACAGGCGACTCTCTGCTCTCCGCACCCGAAATTCTCCACGCTTTTTCTGCCGGCGAGTATGTTTTTGAAAGATGCGATTTGTTTTCGCCGCGCAAATTGCCGGTCGCCGAATCGCCGCCGGTAGGCCCGATGCACCGCGCGGGCCAGGAAAAAGGGAAGCGCGGCTCGGAATCGGAATCGGCAAAAAGACGGCCTGGCCAGCGTCGCGAATTCATTTCGCGAGCAAAGTGGCAGCTGGATCTCGGTGATCGCGGTATTAATGGCGAGAAGAACGCGTCGTTATCGGGACCGAGCGAAAGAGAACTGTTCCCGGTCATTAATATTGATGAATCGTGTTTTCGGTGGTAATAGCCGATGACACGATAACGCGGAAGGACCGGTCGAATAATTTCGTTCCGAGGCAGGGACTGGCTGGAGAACGGGGAGAAGACCGAGGGGGCCAGGGCTCGCGAAATTCTCATGTAAATCACGAGAAATCCAGCGGTCGCGTATAATCGACTTCGATTATCACGTTAAAAAGATTGCGTAATAACAGTGTCGACGTTCGGTCTATGGTTCGACGCTTTTTCGATCACCCGGGGGCCGCGGTGCACCCGCAATGGGATGCACGATGCACGATGCGCGCGGCTCGTAATGCTGCAATCGGATCGGTGGATCGGCTGACGGAGAGCCCTCTCGCGGAATCACCCTTCGCAGGGGTTCCGATATCTGATGCACTAGCGAGCGACGACGGTGCTTACGGTCGATTGCATGTTATTAAGTCAATGTATAAACTGCTGCGAAATTATTGTTCTAAAATCCGAGGTGAGAATGCGCTCGATAATCTTGCAAGATGACGGGGAAAAGTGCGATCTTATGGGAAGATTGGAGGGAAGGCTGCTTTATTTAGACGTCGAATGTCAGCGGATGATGCTTTTTAACATTTTTTTAGGAACGTGCTCGTATTATGGAGATTTATCGAAGCTGAAAGAAGAGATTAGTGCAATAAATACGAGTATCTTAAAGTAGCGCGTCTAATTAATACATTGAAATTGAGGATAAAATGAACGGTATAGACTATTAATGAGACCATTTATAGGGAGATCGAAGAGTGCAGAATCATAGAATATTTTTAAAAAGAGGTCAAATAAACTGATCGTTTCTACAGGTTTGCCAGTGAAATGAAAATGTACCAAAGTTTCTGAAAGTTCATAATTTCTGTCTACGAGTATTAATGCATCGTCGAACGGTGGTTCAACAGGATCCAAGGCTAGATAGATCGTTCGCATCGCGAGGGATAATTGCGAGCCGAGAGATTGGCAACCCCGTAGTAACCATGGTCTACCTTTCTAGACAAAGATCGGATAATCTAAAAGAAACGCCGGTTCCCGGATTGACGGGTGATTGATGAAGGCTCGCGGCGCCAAAGTAACGCCTACGCGATTTTTATAATTAGAGGCCGGGATGCTAATAGTTAATTTGTCCGTCGTAACTTAGCGACGCGCGAGGGTTCTCGTTGGTTAACTGGTTCTCAGACTCCCCCTTTCGTAATTAAGACGGAGTAATTTTTAATCAATTTGAAGAACGTGTTGCGGATAATGAGAAACGATGTTGCACCGGTCGTTTCGTCGTTTGAAAAATATTGGTTCCCGCGAATCCGATTCGGGCTGTTCGAAAACGATTAATCGGTGTTCGTCGAATATAACCTGGCTTATTAAAAATTGCTCGGTATTATTTATCGCTTACCTGTCGCGGCATCGCAGAATCGGACGCGTGCGTTAAACTGAAATTTAACCACAGCATAGGAGGTACACATATTACCAATATTATTTCCTTGGAGTTTACAAAGCATAGAAAAAATTCACACAACTAAAATCAGAATTAATTTACAAATTACGATACACGCTATAATTTAATCGACGATACTTTTTCAATAACTTTACCTAGCACACGTAATTTCTACATTACACCAATAATATCTTTCGTATTTATTGTTCCTATCGTTTAAAATATATTTAAATTATCAAGAACAATTTCCAGGCCTAACCTGTGCTTATTCTCAACGTACGCTAAATAAATATCGATTAAATAATTCTCGCAGCAATCGCATTCCATCGATCATTTCCTGCCGTTGAAACAATGAAACCTTCGATCATCCGTGCTCTAACGAAATGATCGGGGCAATATCGAATCTGCTGCTAAGACAATCTCTGAAACTCCGATCTGAAACGCGAAACCAAGGGACACGGTGTACAAATTTCTGGCGCGGGCTCGTCACGATCGGGCGTCCGGTTAATAAGCTAAATGAGACACTTTACATACGCGTCGCCCGAATAATTTAATGTCCCCTTGGCGCAATTTAAAATGCAGATCATTGGCGGCGACCGATGAAGTTGCATCACCGATGTGCCGGGGATCGTGCGTACACGGACTTTCGAAACTCGATCGGCCGGCTCTCTGGACGTGGGTGAATCGGCCGCAGGCCGTGCTCCGGTTCATGCATTTTCGTCGTTTTCTCCCTCGTACGCTCGCCACTCGCCACTCGCCACGGCGAACACCTTGCGTACCAGCAGCCTCGGGTCGCTGCCAAGAATGGGAGCGTCGCGTCGCTTCTCGTCGCGTCGGCAGCCGAAAATTGTTATGCCCGGGCCCCGTTGTTTGATCGCGCTCGTGCTCGCGCTCGTGGCCGAGGGCCAGCCGATTCCCCACAGAAATTGGCGCGAAGATCGATTTTCTCTTTTCCGTGATTTATCGCGGCGATTTCGCGCGCCGCTGCGTCCTAAGATTTTAATCGACTGGACACCGGCACCGATTCTAAGCGATTCATCACGACCGCCGCGCCTCGCCGCGAGGATCTCCGTGGATTTAGCCGGGATTTTTCGAGATCCCGAGACAAATTTACGCCATTAGTAACGAGCCGATGGTCCCTGGTAGCGGCAGACATTTTTGCGAAATTGATAACGCCGCTGTGGAATACGAATCCGTCATTGGTAGCAAGCGGGCGTCGATTCGTCAGATTTTTACGCGCCGAGCGACAGATACGTGTCGAGCAGTGACTACAGCGTGGATGATATTAGCGTTTGTTGCGACAGTTTAAGTCATTTTGTAAGGTGCAGGATCTTTTTATGAGATATCGAAATTGCAAGAAACAGACATCGCGCGAGAACGTATCTTTTCCTCGAATAATTTTTGGTAGATCGAAGAGACGGTAGCAGCAACGTTCCGAAATGTTTCGAATGTTCACACTTTGATATATTGTCTAGTCATATTTGTCATAAAAATATTTCACGAGACGCACAAAATCGATTAAACCGTATGCGAAATACAAAACCGTGTCAAAAGAACCTGAATTTTTCCAAACAATTCCTCGAAAGCTCTGATAAAATCGAACAGGGGCCGCCACCTACCCTTCCAGCAACGAATGCAGCCTATTTTTTTGCCGTCGACGACAACGAATGCAAGGAAGACGCGCAATACGTGCAAGATGAAAATGAAGAAAGCAATTTCAAAGAAATTTCATTGGAAACGATACGACCGCTTTACCTACCAACGTTTTACCCCCCATTTACAAGTTGCGCTTATTTCGTCGATTTCCTTACAGCTCGCGCAGTTTTTGGTATAGTACTCTGCACATAGGCGTATTTAGACTTTCTCGTGGAGATCGGTGATCTTACCATGGGTGCGACTACCGCCGACGGCGTGTTGCTAGTGGACGAGACGGCCGAGGACGGTTTCACCGCAGCGATGCTCCTGCGTCTCGTAGAGCTCGTCATCTTCTCAGCCTTGAGCGTCGAGGTTATTTTCGAGGACGTGGGTGTCCCCGGGACCGCGACGGATCTTCTCTGCTTGGAAGGCAGACCCGATCTCGACGTCGATGTCGAGGGCTGCTCGATCGTTACCGCGGCGGACGCGACGTTGGATAGTCGTCGCATAGGCTTCGTTGATTCTTCGTCCTGCGAATTTCAGTGTTCGATTTAGTACTCCTGGATAGAGTGGAATTTCGAATAACGAGGAAGCGCTACTTGTGACCAAATTTAGTGGACAAAATACAAAACTCTGAACAGATTGGAAGAATTAAAACCATTGTCGCAAAATTGTCGGCTTGCCGAACGAATTACCGATTTATAGATTTTTTTCAGCTCAATTTCTGATTTCAAAGGTGTTCGGATGATGGATGCAGCGAAACTTTGGTACACCGTGGTGCATGACACAAAAATTACGCAACGCTATATCGAGTCGGTCTCAGAAACGCGAACGACGGTGTCAACCGGCGCGAAGTAACGAGCGTGTAAAGTAAATTTGTCAATCTTTTTCGTGTTATCGATTTTCGATGCGGCGGAGGGGCCTATCGCGCACCGTGTCTATCTTTTTTCAGGATTCTTTTCAGTCCGACTGTCGAATCCGTCGACTTTGCGACTCTGTGCGAATGGTTGGAATAAACCTACTTTCATGCTCGAACGAGTTAAATTCTACATCGTTACCGCAGACAGGAACGTCTGAACGATTAACCTAAATCGGATCGTGCCGACGAAATCGTTGAAACTAATTAAATCGAGCAGAAATATACAAATTTAGACCGTTTGTCGCAAGAAATGAAACGACTTTCAGGTTTTAACGCGAAAAAAAAGTTCAGATGCTTCTTTCAGTCGACGAACAAATTCTAGAGAATTCTAGAACCGAATAGACGATAGCAAACGATATTCGTTAATAAACACCTTGTCTACGTGGACTACCGTTTCGTTCGCATCGAATTCTTCGCCTTGATCGTGGACTGTTATCACGTGCTCTTGATCTTCGGTCACCAGCGTGTCCAATGATCCATACCTGAAACAGTTACGTTCCGATGAGACACGATTGCGAGGAGAATCCAAGGAGATTTTGGTTGGTTAAGACTTGAATGAAACTGTTTCTAACAACCTTCCCAAAGACGTGCTCAATTGACTGCGGTTGAATTTCGGTGCCACAGGTGTATCGGGAGTGCGAATTTCGATACCCGTCACAGGTGTTCTCACCGGAGAGTAATCTGGAATATCTGGGTTCGTGTTCAACGTTAGTCGCAGCACGTTCCGCACAGCATCTATTATTTCTTGGTTCGTTAGACGCGGAGCTAAACCGCCGTTTCCCTGCAGCGATTCAAAATTAAAATAATTACTCGGCGTCGATTAATTTTTCAGTGCCGCTGGCGCCGAATGCGACGCGTTTGGCTGTCGCAGCGATCGCACGTTACTCGTTTTCTTCGTCGTTGCAGCGCGATTCGAAAAGAAAATTGACGAGCCGATCAGCGCGTAGAACGGTATCGCGTCGTCTTATCGCAAAATTTGTCTCGGAATCTTCGTAACTTCGTTAACGAAGCAACGCTACGGAGTATACGTACGATCGTTTCGTCGACGATATTATCGTTAAAAGTGTTTCTAACGAAACGTATACGTTACAGTTGGAACGAACTCCTTCCAGCGTCCAACCATCTTCGTAAATTCTTCGGAAAATGTTATAATGCTCATTTTCGAGTTCTTCCCAAAACGGTTCTGGTTCGCACGAAAATATTTGGTGGAACTGGCCGAGAACGCGTCGAATCGACCGTTGACATGTGACACTGGAAAGTCCTCAATTACGTAGGATGTTTACATCAGTGTCGTATGATGTGTAATCGAGATCCCTGGTCCTTAATTCTCATCCTTTGTGTCGCAACGAGCAAACGTTTCTACCGGGAACCGTCGAAAATAATAGAAATTTGCCAAATACGCTTTTATCGGAACAGACTCGCGTGTAGCAAATTTCGTTGAGTTTTCGCTAAGATCGAAAGCTCTCGAAGCAGTACCGACTGTTTGAAATTCTAATTTTTCATTCTAAATTTAACCGTGACGATAGTTCGGCGATCGACGCGCTAAGAAAACGTTCGGAGGAAGAGGAGAAGGCAACGGCAGAAAATTCGGTCCTTGTATATTCAACTGTGTTTGCACGGAGCGAACGTCGTGTCTAGTTTTGTTTCGAGGGCATTTTAGCAACCGGAACCCTGTTCCGGCTAATTCCCGCCTGTTTGGCGAATGGATAAAGCTTCCGTAAGTTAACACAGACTGCTATTTATCTTTCGGCCGGGCATTCCTCTGGAACGCGAGCAGCGTGCAAACGAAAAATGCGGGAGTTTCGTCTGCTTCGCCGGATCCTCGCGCGATCATTCTCCGTCAGGACATTGCAAATGCGATTAACATCTTGAAACGATGACCGAAATTTCGTCTTTATATCGTTTGACCGTCGCAGAGATCCGACTTTGATCCATCGATCTGGCAAATAGGTGGACAATTTGGAAATGATTTTAGATGATCGAGTTTCGCGTGGACAGACGGTACGGATAATTACATTCTTCGAGCGAATAAACTGGACGAACTTCCGGGCAAAAAACTTTTACAATCAACTCGAAGCTGCTCGGGAAAGTTCTCGCGCTTTAAAATTCCTGGCGGAACATTGTCGGAGGAGTTGCAACGGGCAACGGAAACGAGGAAAGATTAATTTTACATTTCAACGCGATGCGTCAGGATCTTCTGTACGAACGAAGAAACAATGGTACAGGTAAAAGCGGTGCTGTTTCAACGTTCGAGATTCAGCGAATGAAATATTGATAAACCGCCGAGCAAAACGTAATCCATGAACGCGAGTTGAAAGCGTACGTCGGAATGGTTCGGGCTCTCGAATTGGCAGAATCGGCGTAAGAGTCGCTCTCGGTGGACAACCGTAAACGGTCACGTAATTTATCTCGACCGTTCGCGCTGTCAAGAAAATTTGTTCCACGGGTCGGACCGTCCCTCGTCGCCCGAAGGTAAAGCGTTCAAAGTTCTTCGGGCAGATCGATGTTTACGCCAAACATGGAATAATCGCGGCCGCTCTCTCGCGAGAACGCGCGTGCGATCGGTCCGCCGCGCCGTGCCGCGCCGCGCCGCCGCCGAGAAAATGGCAGAAATGTCACGAGAAGTGGGTCGATTATCCCGCATTCTGTACCGGCTGGCGTCAGAAACGAGCCGCCCGTGTCCCGAGTGACTTAATTAACTGTTTCCGTTTGTCTCTAACGAGAACGAGAGGAACGGTTCGACGCCGCCCGTTCTCCGCTATCGATTGCGCCTTTTGTCGCTGCGAGTCGCCGCAACGCGTCTCGACCAGAAACGGCACTTTCCGCGATTGAAATCGTGACTCGCCGACGGCTGTTTTAATTGCACGCGGGCAAATTAGTGCCGGCGATCCGCCTTCCACGCGAATCTGTTTTATTTAGGTTCACGGATGCCAGTTTCTCTTTCTCGAAGAAATTCCGGATTAAATGACGCCGAGATTTTTCTGCTTTCCTCGGCAAACACGTTGAACGATTCGATTTTATTGTGCAATTTTTCGCGACGACCTCGGAGTTATCGCTCGAGCGCGAAGGGTCGATCGAATCCTTTAAACGCTGTTGGATGCAGTTTACAACGAATTAGAAAACGCAAGCGAGCGAATCGCCGCAGTTTTTAAATCTCCGGGGTACGATTGATAAAAGAAAGAATGGGGTGTTACGTACTAAGTAACTTTCCGCGGAACTACCTCGGAACGTTCTGTTTGCGGTCACTTTGAAGGGAGAAGTGTCCACTTTCGCGTCTTTGAATTATCCCTCAAAGACCTTTTACTGTTGCAAAAAGGAACGCGAGAAGCTGAAGATACTTTTACTCTTCCGACGTTCTGCGAATTCAAAGGATTCCACGGAATTGGAACAATTTTTTTCCTTAATCCTTCGAATGTAATCTTAAAAAGTGAAGTCTCCTCTTTAGAATGGCCTTCCGAAAGCCTGTCGATGTCGAAATAATCGGGATTATAATTTACCGATTTTAAACTTTGCAGAATCCTGCACAATTCTTGCAGCTTTAATTTACAAAGAAATCTATCGAACACCGACTTCATCATCCGATATCAACCGCGTCGATACGAAAATAAGAATTCGTTTTACACTTTCCAGAAGAACCGTGCGATTATTGTATTTTTCTTCTTCAGAAATAGATTCCACTTTAGGCGTTTAAAGTAGGACTTAAAAACTTGATTTACAGGCTTTAAACCGGAGTATATGGTGTTCCTTGAGAAAAACACATAAGTAACAACCCAATAAAATAGTTGTCCAACGCTGTAACCAGCGAATTGCCAGGCACCTGTCCGCTATAAACTAAAAGCATCAAGGTAATCCCTGGCAGTGGGATAATTAAACCGCGGATTTTTCCGAGCAATAAGTAGTCCGCGCTAATTGCAACTTGCGCGAGGTATCCAGACGTTCGTTCCTTTTCTCGATCCTTTTAATGAATTAATAATAGCGCAAGAATGCCGTTAAATTTCTCAAATATCTTTATTGTCTCGCGTCGGATTAGCCATTTTTCTCCATAAACGAATAAAATTCGCAGAGTCTGGACGCAACTCGACCAACGGTCCGGTTAAGATTGCGATCGTGACTCCTCGTGATCTCGAGCGGTTCCCTATTTCCAAAGGATCGAAACCGTCTAATCGCGATGGTCGTGCTGCGCGAAGGTGGACGAAGAAGAACTTGGAAGCGGTTTAACGATGTTTACCAGAGAAAGGCGCTGAACCTGCAAATTTCGGGCGACCACTTTGCCGATTCGCGACGGTTTTACCGTTCCCGTTCCACGAACAATCTACGAACGAGTGTTCCCGTAGTAAACGCGTCGGTTCCCCGAGCCTGCCAATTATTCCCTGCCACACGTCGACGCACTGATGGACCAGCCCGCGAAAGAGGCGTAGGGACGTGATAAATCTCCCTCGGGGAAAAAACTAGCTGCCCAAAAATATATGCAAGCTGTAGATGGATGGGTGGAGTGCTAGGGCGGTGCCCGATGCCCGGTGCCGAACAGTCTCGTCTTAGTTTGTTTCTCAGGACTCTTCTTCTCTCTTCTCCTCTTCTCCTTCTCCTTCTCTCTCTCCCTCTCTCTCTCTCTCTTTCTCTCTCTCCGCGTACCTCGATCTCACGGCGTCCTTTTTGTGAATTTTTAGCGATTGAACGATTAGGAGGGGGCGGCGCTCGTCAGTCAAACCCTGAACCCGTTTCTGGCGTATGCAGATGAGCAGCCCATTGTCTTCCTCCGTGCAATCCTCCCGGTGTAATTACCTCGAAGCGCACCTGAAGTACATGCCTCTTGTCACCTTAACGCTCGATGCACCCGAGTTACCGCGCACGCACGTCCGACCAACGGGCCGCCAGGTATTTATGCAAATGATTTTTCCTGTTCCACGCGATTTGCATGCTCGAGCCGAGTGACGAATGAATAAATACGTCACATATTTCGCCTGAACTTTGCGCGGTTTTCCGCGGTGCTGGTTACATTCGCGAATTTATGAATCGTTAGTTACGATTCATGGCGATCTCGTTGTGCAACTGTTTGGACATCGAGGCTCGTTCCGCGTGATTCGGATTCTGTGCTGCTGCGAGCAACGCGATCGATGGTTAAATTGGTTGTGGGATAAATTGAAACAGCTGACGAATTTCTGCAGCAGTTACAAACGGAACATCCCCAAAGTTGCGCCCCAAGCAATTTTCGAAATTCGGTAAATTCACTCCAATTGTCCCTCGGCCTCCAAACAGAAATGGACAATTTTGGAAGAGGAGATACGATTATTCGAGCCTCGTTTTTATAATTGTCGACAGACATCGAAGCCGTCGAAGCGGCTGCAGAATTTTTTTTCCAAAGGGACGCTATCTCCGGCAGAAAAAGGGAAACTTTTCATCGACTTTCCCCAGCTGCTGTAAAGCAGCGGGTCGCGGTTTCTGCGAGCGTGCAGAGTGGAAAAGCAACGCGCCGGTCGTAAAGGCTGCTCGTTATTTGCTTTTCCATGCTCGCGGCGTGGCGCGGCTGTGCGGCGGCGGCGGCGGCTTGCAACGCCTCGCCGCCGTAAAAACCTTGCTCTCCCCATACTTTCGCGACCATTACCCCTTAGCCTGGTTTTACAGCTCGCGATCGTTGGAAGAACCGAAACCCGGTCGCCGGACCGGGATCGAAAAAGCCGCGTGGGCCTGCGCTGTGCGCAGAAAACGCCGCCGCCTCCGAACCGGTGATTATTCAAGGTTGCACCTGTATTTACAGAGACTCGGTTATTTCTCGGTCCATCAGGACGCGGCGGCGGCGGCGGCTGCGGACGCTCCGATCCGCTCCGGGCGGGTAAGTCCTAGTAAAACATCCTCTGGAGGACGGCGCGGCATCCCGTCGACTCTAACTCGTCCGCCGGCAGTGTTTCTCGCCGCACTAATTTCGAACTTGTCGTTACAAATGAAAGGGTTCGCCGAGTCTGCAACCTTCCGTGGCACAAATATTTGTTATTTCAGTAGGCGGATGTCCTTTAAACGGCCGCGGGGGATGCGGACGCCTGCGGATCAACGCCGAACTGCAACGCTCTGCATTCTCACGAAGCGGCGCGGCGCCCGTTTGAAGTACCTCTGTTTGAACAGCGGTCATTGTCTTCCCTCTCGTTCGTCTTCTTCTTCGTCTTCTTCTTCCTTCTTTTCTCCCTTTTCTTCTTCTTCTTCTTCTCTTCCTCCTCTCTTCCTCCTCCTTCTCCGCGTATCGTCTTCACGGCTCGCCCCCGTTCGACGCCACCGCCATCAAGAAGCCAGGTCGTNCTCTCTCTCTCTCTCTTTCTCTCTCTCCGCGTACCTCGATCTCACGGCGTCCTTTTTGTGAATTTTTAGCGATTGAACGATTAGGAGGGGGCGGCGCTCGTCAGTCAAACCCTGAACCCGTTTCTGGCGTATGCAGATGAGCAGCCCATTGTCTTCCTCCGTGCAATCCTCCCGGTGTAATTACCTCGAAGCGCACCTGAAGTACATGCCTCTTGTCACCTTAACGCTCGATGCACCCGAGTTACCGCGCACGCACGTCCGACCAACGGGCCGCCAGGTATTTATGCAAATGATTTTTCCTGTTCCACGCGATTTGCATGCTCGAGCCGAGTGACGAATGAATAAATACGTCACATATTTCGCCTGAACTTTGCGCGGTTTTCCGCGGTGCTGGTTACATTCGCGAATTTATGAATCGTTAGTTACGATTCATGGCGATCTCGTTGTGCAACTGTTTGGACATCGAGGCTCGTTCCGCGTGATTCGGATTCTGTGCTGCTGCGAGCAACGCGATCGATGGTTAAATTGGTTGTGGGATAAATTGAAACAGCTGACGAATTTCTGCAGCAGTTACAAACGGAACATCCCCAAAGTTGCGCCCCAAGCAATTTTCGAAATTCGGTAAATTCACTCCAATTGTCCCTCGGCCTCCAAACAGAAATGGACAATTTTGGAAGAGGAGATACGATTATTCGAGCCTCGTTTTTATAATTGTCGACAGACATCGAAGCCGTCGAAGCGGCTGCAGAATTTTTTTTCCAAAGGGACGCTATCTCCGGCAGAAAAAGGGAAACTTTTCATCGACTTTCCCCAGCTGCTGTAAAGCAGCGGGTCGCGGTTTCTGCGAGCGTGCAGAGTGGAAAAGCAACGCGCCGGTCGTAAAGGCTGCTCGTTATTTGCTTTTCCATGCTCGCGGCGTGGCGCGGCTGTGCGGCGGCGGCGGCGGCTTGCAACGCCTCGCCGCCGTAAAAACCTTGCTCTCCCCATACTTTCGCGACCATTACCCCTTAGCCTGGTTTTACAGCTCGCGATCGTTGGAAGAACCGAAACCCGGTCGCCGGACCGGGATCGAAAAAGCCGCGTGGGCCTGCGCTGTGCGCAGAAAACGCCGCCGCCTCCGAACCGGTGATTATTCAAGGTTGCACCTGTATTTACAGAGACTCGGTTATTTCTCGGTCCATCAGGACGCGGCGGCGGCGGCGGCTGCGGACGCTCCGATCCGCTCCGGGCGGGTAAGTCCTAGTAAAACATCCTCTGGAGGACGGCGCGGCATCCCGTCGACTCTAACTCGTCCGCCGGCAGTGTTTCTCGCCGCACTAATTTCGAACTTGTCGTTACAAATGAAAGGGTTCGCCGAGTCTGCAACCTTCCGTGGCACAAATATTTGTTATTTCAGTAGGCGGATGTCCTTTAAACGGCCGCGGGGGATGCGGACGCCTGCGGATCAACGCCGAACTGCAACGCTCTGCATTCTCACGAAGCGGCGCGGCGCCCGTTTGAAGTACCTCTGTTTGAACAGCGGTCATTGTCTTCCCTCTCGTTCGTCTTCTTCTTCGTCTTCTTCTTCCTTCTTTTCTCCCTTTTCTTCTTCTTCTTCTTCTCTTCCTCCTCTCTTCCTCCTCCTTCTCCGCGTATCGTCTTCACGGCTCGCCCCCGTTCGACGCCACCGCCATCAAGAAGCCAGGTCGTTTCAGATAAGGGAGCCGACTTTAAAAGCTTCCCCCGGGGCCCTCGCGAAAAGCATTTTTTACGACACCTCTTCGATCGACGTGTCTTTGCGAGAGCCCGAGCCGATCGCCCAGGGACGGAGATTGTTTGAAGAACGATTTCCGGGTTTCAAGGCATTCCGATGGTCTCCTTCGATCGTTCTCTTCGACGGCGTCGACGCAGTGCCGAAAGAGTTGCCCCGCGAGTGTGGGAACACGTTCGACCAAAGCTGATGGAGCCGCTTTTCGTGTGGCTGGTAACGGGAGAAACGGTTTTCCTCGAAAATTCGAGGATTTTTTCTCTGCTCTCCGTTTCTTTGGAAACTTTTCCGTGCACATTGTATATTTTATCGCGAATAAGTTTCGCCAAAATATTGCCGCGTATTCCCCAAGCCTCTTCGCAGTGGGAAAAGTGCAGAAGAAACGATTACATTGGAGGATGATAGTTTTTCCTCCGTTCGCGCGAGAAGTCCGGCCAGTATTTTTTCCTCGTTTCCCCGGACGTGAGTGGCGATAGAGGCGAGGGATCTCGTGGAATCTAGCGATTTCCGACGGTTCGAAAGGCGCCGGGAATATTTTCAGGTTAAAACGATGATAAAATAGGATTAGTCGCGAACCGTGCCTCCATTAAATCGCGATGACTCAAATGGCCCGCAGAAGCACGTTCTATTTGGACACCCAATATTTGACTTTCGCCAGATTGGACCGCGGGCAACCCCCTCGCGTTGCCACTGCCGCCGCGCCGTTTGTTTGCAGTTTGCCTTCGGTTTCGGCTTCGCGGCAGGTTGATTTAGGATTTAAGGATTTCTACGTTTGTTGTTCGAAGATCACGTGGATAAATACACTCGAGATGATTCCACCATTTAGGCTACGGCGGGTGGTCTCTGCCGCCCGCGTCCGTATTGATGAATCGCGGAAGTTAAGTGGATCCGGTAATCCGTTTCCAACAAATAGTGAGAACGCCTGTGTTCTAGATTTGTAGACGAAAGAAATTTAGTTTCTTTCTCAATGTGGAAGTCCACTGTTTTTTTAGGGAACAGGAAATGCCCGGGAAAGTTAGGCGATCGTAGCATAATAATTAATGCATCGCGTTATATTTACTCGCTGTCGTATTATCTATGTATATTCAACAGATTTAATTACATTCAGGTTTTAGAATGAATTTTTGCTTCAATATATTCGGCGTACGAAAGGTCAGGATCTGCAAATAGGAAAATTCCATCGATTTTATAGAATTGTAAAGAGCGTCGAGCTGGCAATGAAACTGTCCAAACGGAGAGTATTACGAATATCCTGTTTCCATAATTACGGGCGCATGGGCCCGGAGAAATGGCCCGTGCACGGGTCAGCAATCGGTAACACGATCGTCGGACCCGCTGACGATTCGAACGGTCCTCGAGCAGTCGCGCGAAAAAAAGGACACGTTCGCAAACATCAGGTAAGACCAGTCGCAAACGTAAACGTCGAATCGTGGTTCCGTTCGGTTCGGTGGGGGACATTCGTCATTATTCACGATTAGCATCGACCGTTGGTTCCTTCGTGGCTTTAACCGTTCGGGCTCCACAGGAAGTGGGCCGGTCGGATCAAGGGCCCCGGCTGCCCTTTTCCATTCTAAGACGCTTCATTCAGGTGTAATAGTCAGTTAAAGACTATCCAAACATAAGATCCCACCGGTCGCAGCCGACGAGCTTCCGTGGCCCCAACTTTCTCATGGCAAACTTTTGTCAGGGAACAACTGACCGCGTCGAACGGCACGCTCGTTCGCTGTCTCAATTTTCCTTCGAATATTCTTTCGCTGCCTCCCTCTGCGCTCGCTTTCCCTTCAATTTTCGGCGCTGCGAAGACTCTCGACGCCTTTCGCGGTATCGCGTTCGACGCGCAACGAATATTCAACGATGTCGAAA